CTGCCTCTGCCTCCCGAGTGCTGGGATTAAAGGCGTGCACCACCATACCCGATGTGGACTAATGTTTAAAAATACAAAAGAAAAATTAAAAAAACCCTGCACTCATGTATCTGAGTAGCCTTGCTAGCCAGCTTGTTCCAAAGATCCCATCTCTGCTCTGAGGCTGGAGTTCAGGCATGCTACACGGCTCAGCTGGCATTGCACATGGGTTCTGGGGGTCTGAACTCTGGTTCTCATGCTTATGTGGCAGGCACTTTAGACTGCTGAGCCATCCTCCTAGCCCTGAAGCATACTTTAGAAAGGAGCACGTTCAGTTTGTGCTGAGAACTTGTTTCCGTTTGCATATCCCAGCTTCCCAATGACTCTGTCTTTGTTCTGTAGGTTACTGACGCATACAAACAATATGACTTTGGGAAAGTTGTTAGGTTGTTAAAAGCATTTTATACCAGAGAACTCTCCAGCTTTTACTTCAGCATAATCAAGGATAGGTAAGTGTGGCTAAGTGCTGCAATTCTCAGTAGGACTTTCTGATCACCCGCAATGCTTGCAGGTGTTGGAGACACAGTGGTCAACATGGGTGGCATTGGGCAATAATCACAGTTGGGTTCTGGCGTATAGCCTGAGTACCAGTTGTGCCCTGCGTCTTAGCTTCGTGTTTCAGGGCAACTTATAGTATAGTCTCAGTTTGTCTGAAGAATGAGGATGACAGTACATCCTTCTGACGTGGTTTAAGACAAGGTCATGCCGATGCTGTGCTTGGTGCTGTGTCTGCGTGAGTGCAGCTGCTTAGTAGGAGCTGTGGGTCTGTGGGCTTCTGGTCTCCATGGGGAGACAGGCAGTTCTGTAATGACCTCGTGCAGTGTCCCTGTGTCCTTTTTGAAGAGGGCTTGGCACTAAGCATATGCATGGCTCTGGTGTGCAGTTGAAGGTGTTGGCTTTGTGGTAGCTACTCCAACATGAGCTGCCACCCCTGGCCCGTCAGCACACACCGCAGGAGCTTTGACACAACTCAACATTCTTTCCCTTAAAACCCTAGAAGCCATTAGTGCTGTTGGGGATGGGAGTCACTAAAAGAACATCAGGTAACTTAGTTGAGTATTAAACACAGTAAGTAGATTGTCATCTATCTCAAAATCAAGAGTTGGACATAGCATGAAGTTTTTGAGGAGACAGGCACATCTTGAGAGAGTAAAACGGAATAGGTGGCAAGTTGTCAAAAAAGGTATGAAAGTATTTGATGGTACTGGGGAATGAACATTTCACGTTTTGACTAGATGACTAGACACAGTATTAGCACTGTAGGGATGAACTAGACTGAGGTAGGTTGAGTCTTGGTGAGCACAGTGGTCAGTGTGCCTGTCACTGACAAGCTCTCCTTGTTCAGGCTTTACTGTGAAAACGAAAGCGATTCCAAACGGCGCTCCTGTCAGACAGCACTAGTGGAAATTTTGGATGTGTTGGTTCGTTCTTTTGCCCCCATTCTTCCTCACTTGGCAGAAGAGGTATTCCAGCACATTCCCTATATTAAAGGTAAGGGTAACTTGTTCTCTAAATGAGACAGATCACGGCTGGGTTTGACTTTGTTATCTACTGCATATAGCTGCACTTACCTGCGGTGGCACTTTGGTGGTTTACTGTTCTCTGTACCTTCTTACAGCAGAATAGGATGGTTTCCTAAAGCTGTAGGCCATCCCTAGTGCTTTCTGAAATGCATTAAGCATTTTACAGTATTGAAGAATCACTTTTGCTTAAATGTGTTTATGGATGGGCATGGTGGTGCACACCTTTAATCCCAGCACTCGGGAGGCAGAGGCAGGTGGATCTTTGTGAGTTCGAGGCCAGCCTGGGGGACATAGAGATTTCCAGGGAGACCCTGTCTCAAAAAGACAAGAAAAAAAACCCCAAAATGTGTTTATGTTCCAAAATGTACTTTTTAAGTTTTATTAAAACAAAATATGGTGCTTTTAACTGACTTTTTAAATACTTTTATGATAAACTTTTTTCTCCTGATTTTATTTTTGTAGAAAATTAGAAACTGAATGTTGTGTTTTATAATCCTAAAGCCCTAGAGAATAACTGCTAATATTGGAATAGGTCTGTTCTGTTTTTGCTTTGAGACTGTTAGACTAGATTAAGTCTTTCACTGTTGATATGCTTTGTAAGTATTTAGACTGGTTCACTGATACTTCACTATGATTATCATAAGTACCAGTCTTTATCTCATTAATGGTAAATTTTTAATGGTTAAAGCTTATATGAACTTTAGGCTATATATAACTCATTTTTCTTTTTTTAAAGAACCCAAGAGTGTTTTTCGCACTGGGTGGATTAATATAAGTTCTATCTGGAAGAAGCCAGGGCTGGAGGAGGCAGTGGAGAGCGCGTGTGCCATGAGAGATTCCTTCCTTGGAAGTATCCCTGGCAAAAACCCCACAGAGTACGAGGTCATCATCGTGATCGAGCCGGGGCTGCTTTTTGAGATAATGGAGGTATGCGCCTTCTGAACCTCCCGAAGCGTCACCTGACAGGTTGCTTGTCACAAATGCTTAAGAAGGATCTCATATTAATTCAGAAATTATGATCCTGATCCTGTCACTGATTGTTCCCCGCTCTGAACATGTAACATATGCAGGGAAAATATAAGAGTTCTGCTTGAGGGTCAGGCGTGGTGGTGCACGCCTTTAATCCCAACACTCAGGAGGCAGAGGCAGGCGGATCTCTGTGAGTTCAAGGCCAGCCTGGTCTACATAGTGAGTTCCAGGACAGCTGGGGCTACAGGGAGACCCTGTCTCAAAAAGACAAAAAAAAAAAAAAAAAAAAAAAAAGAGTTCTGCTTGAATTTAAATCACTCGGGGCTTTTTTAGAAGGTCAGTGTCGGGGCTGGAGAAGTAGCTCAGTGTTTAGGAACACTTGCTGCTCTCGTCAAGGACGTGAGTTTGGCTCCCCTGCAGCCATAACAGATGGCTTACAACCACCTGTAACTCCAACTCCAGAGGATCCAATGTCTTCTTCTGGCCTCCTTAGGTACACATGCATGTGCACACACACACACAAATGTAAATTTTTAAAAAGTGTCATGTAAATATGTGGCAGTAATATTAGAATGCGTAAAATTGGGAGTTTTATATGAGAGCCTTGGATTTTGAGATTTTTGCCCATCTGGATCAGATTCAAACATCTGAAAAGGAGTTTCATTTTTAATTTAATGAAAAATGGAGAAAATCCGTTGTTCTAGCAAGTTATCCCACATCTCTGAAAGCACTCATCCTGTTTTCAATCCTAGAAGACCTGTCACTTTTCTTGGGATTTTTAGGGATTGGCCACACCAGCAGTGTGTTAAGTGGAACACACCTTTTTCTCCAGTAAAAAACTTAGGACAAAGTTTTTTATTTATTATTTTTTAATTTTATGTGTAAATTTATTATCTTTATGTGTGTGCACCCGTGTTGTGCAATGCCCAAGGTCAGAAGAGGCTGTTGGGTCCCCTGGGACTGGAGTTACAGACAATTGTTAGCTGCCATGTGGGTGCTGGGATTCAAACCCAGGTCTTCTGCAAGAACAGTTATTGTTCTTACTCTCTGAACCATCTCTCCAGCGAATATGTTTTAAAAAAAAATTTATTAGCATCGTGTTTCTTAAAGTGTAACCATCTTGGAGCTGGAGAGATGGCTCAGCAGTTAAGAGCACTGGCTACTCTTGCAGAGGACCTGGTTCGGTTCTCAGCACCCACATGGCAGGTTACAACCGGCTGTAACTCCAGTTCCAGGGGATCTGACATCCTCTTCTGGCTTCCGTGGGCATTGCACACACATGCACATACATGCAGGCAAAAACTTCAAACACATAAAAATAAAATTCAAAAAAAAGGGAATCATCTCATTTTGGTTGATAAGCTCTATTTAAACAATAACAAAACTAAATGATTAAGGTTGAAATAGCTAATATGGGGGCTGGAGAGATGACTCAGCAGTTGGGAGCACTGGCTGCTCTTGCAGAAGACCTGGGTTTCATTCCCAGCACCCACATGGCAACAAAAAACGTCCAGTAACTCCAGTTCCTGGGGATCCAACACCCTCTTCTGGTTTCCACAGGCTTTGCATGACACGGGTGCACTTAACATACATCCAGGCAATACACTCACATACGTAAGAAATAATTTTTAAAAACTGGGAAGCAGTGACTTTTTTTTACTTTATACACAAAGCAACTGAGGACACTGAAGTCAGGGCCTGGCCAAGGCTACAGCCTGGTCGCTTTTCCTCTTGTTGCCCCTATGCATTGTTTCCTTTGGCTTCATTTGTAAATCAGGTGGAAAGAATAGCTCCTTTGGGCTGGTTATACTGGAAAAAGGACTTTTGGATGTAAAACGCTGTATCCATTGCTTGCTCTGTGACAAAACACTAACAAAAGCAATTTAGGAAAGGGTTTACTGTGGCAGCACGAGCTTTTGAGGCGGCTGGTTACATTGCATAGCACATAGGAAGCAGAGAGTTGGATGTTGATGCTCAGTTCACGTTCTCCTTTTTGTTGTCTGGACCTCAGCCCATGGGATGGTGCTGTTCACACTGAGGGTGGGTCTTCCCACCTCACTTAACTTGGTCTAGAAAGTCCCTCAGACTTGCCTAGAGGCTTATCTTCTAAGTAACTAGCTCTTGTCAAATTGACAGTCTTAACCATCTATAACCAGCATGAACATATTTTCCTGAGGAATCACAGGAAGTTCTATTAATCACTAAGTGCATGAATTTGTTAGAACCAGATTCTCTCATGGGCTTTATTTTTTTTTGGGGGGGGGGGTGTTGAGACAAGGTCTCCCTGTAGCCCCAGCTGGCCTGGAACCAGGTAGACTAGGCTGGCGTTGAACTCACAGAGATCCACTTGCCTCTGTCTCCTGAGTGCTGGGATTAAAGGTATAAGCCACCATACGCAGCTCATTTTTTTTAAAGGAACATATTTATACACTCACTTTGAAGATCAAAATTACAATGAAAAGTCTCATATGTGGTTATCAGATATCCAAATTCAGTGTACTTTAGAAGGACTCTGGGTATTATTCAGATTGCCACCAGCAGTCTACACTGTTAAAGCCAGGTATTTGGATATAGTATCTTAACCTCTCTCCTGATGTAGGAAAGCACGATGGGGGGTTGTGGCTTAGAGACTGGCAGAGCTCTGCACTTGAGAAGCCTGGGTAAGTCGGCCTCTTTTACTCATTTGTAAAGTAGGTATAATGAACACTATATACCTGAGCTTACAGAGTGAAGGCAAGTGTTGTATACGCCAGCAAATGAAACCAGTAAGAGTTTCTTCACATAACTTCCACCTGTGTTCCAGATGCTGCAGGCTGAGGAGACCTCCAGCACCTCTCAGCTGAATGAGTTAATGATGGCCTCCCAGTCAACGCTGCTGGCTCAGGAACCACGGGAGAGAACTGCGGATGGAATTGAGCTTACAGGGACATTCCTCATCAATCTAGAAGGTGAGAATTTAGGTGAGAGTATCAGCGGTATCAGGGAACCAAATAGTTGCAGGTCATCTTCAGCTTTGCAGTGGACTGGACTGTTCTAAAAATCTAAAAATAACTGAATAAACCATTCTATGGAAACTGTATAATCAGTTGCCAGTTGCTGCCAGGCGTGGTGGTGCATGCCTTTAATCCCAGCACTTGGGAGGCAGAGGCAGGCAGATCTCAGAATTTGAGCCCAGCCTGGTCTACATGGTGAGTTTCAGGCCAGCTGGGGCTACAGGGAGACTGTCTCAAAAAGACAAAAAAAATTGCTAGTAGTCTAAGCTAGCCCTCAAGTGTCCTGAGGAACTTCAGAATGGAAGGCCAAGGCAGGAAGAGTGGTCCCTAGTACTGCCTAGTAGAATTTATTAAACTTACTATCACAGCATCCTGTATACTTTTCATAGAGCACTGCCAGCTCGACTCATCTTACTAATGGGAATGGAGGTCAGACTAAGGCCTAAGAGTTTCAATAGCGGAGGAAGCTGTTCTTTGGTAAGCTAAGAGGCTGTGCATTGTGGCTTGGCTACTGCCTCTGTAATTTGTCATTTGAAATTCTTACATCAACTGTGTAGCTGGATCAATAACTAGACAGCTCTACCTGAGCACCACAGAACACTTGACTAGGATAGCAAGCAATTAAGCGTTCCTATAATAGTCTGTCTGAGTTCTTGGCACTCCAGCAGTCAGGTTGTATGATCCTATCATATTGGCCTTTACATAATGAGGCAAAGCCTGGGCAGCCTTACCAAGGTAGGAAGGAGAAAGCCTTGACAAAGGGGCACCTGCTGCACCAGCTCAGGAACCATGATGCACAGTGGATGACCTGTTGGAAATGTTCTTGGTGTATTCTTTTCAAGGTGGTGATATTCGTGAGGAGTCTTCGTATAAAGTAATTGTCATACCAGCTACCAAAGAAAAGTGCCCTCGATGTTGGAAGCACACTGCTGAGTCTTCAGATACTCTGTGTCCTCGATGTGCAGAGGTTGTTGGTGGAAAGTAGTATTCATTCTAGTGGGAACAGCTATCTGAGCATGACCCCTCCTGACAGTATGGACTGGGAGCTTAGATGAGGTCTTTACAGTCCTGGAAAGTCCAAGGTTTAGGTAAGGAACGGAAGAGGAACTGGTAAAGAAGGGTGGACGTCCAAACTGGGACTGTAAAAGGACCTGCCTGTAACTACAGAAAGTAACGTGTACATACACACACGGAGCTACGCATATACAAACACACATGTATACAGGGCAGGGACACATGCATACACACCCATCCATCCATCTTTCCATCCATGGTGGACTTACTCAGAAACGGACACTGATATGCTATGCTGCTTCCAGTTGTGGCTGGATAGAATGTTTTATATTTTATAAAAACATTTTTGGACTCAGTATTTAAGTTCTAAGATGTCTGAAAATAAAGGTATTCTGGAAAACTGCTGATGTTGGCACAGAAGTTGTGAATGATTAAGAGTGTGTGGTTTTGAAGGGGAGTGGCAGAGTGGTGTTCCCCTAAAAGGTGAAACATATCATTTAATTTTGCCTACTAGTAAACATCAGGCGTTCTAAAGCAGCATGTTTTCTGAAATGTACTTCGAAGAACATCACCAAATTATTTAGAAGCAGAAGAAATCTTAGTATTTCATGTGTGAATGTTAAGGAGACAGTAGGAAAGCTGAGAATTTATTTCACTGATATACACAAGTTCACAGTGATGAACAGACAGAAAGCAACAGTGTGTCAGAATTTTGCTACTTACAATACATTACAGTAGATAAATAATAGAGCATTTTATAAACAGCCCACTTTTGGACTAAAATCTTCTAAGGATGGCTAATCTACTAAGCAGAAATCTTAACTGCCCAGCAAACCTGTTTCTGGCAGGTGAGAGAGGGCTTTACTGTTGCTATAGTGCACTGTAAAAATATGTTTATAAATGAAATGGACTACAGCAACATCTAATCGAATGTTATAATCAATATAAGCTTACTACTGAGTCTTAATTTTCCATGATTTTGAATTGCAGTTGTTTTTTAAAAAAGCAATTTAAATGTAATAGACTTTACTTTGACCTTAGATGAACTTTTATAACAAAGGTACAGCTCTTGTCTCTCTTGCAAGAGTGTGAAGCATAGAGAAGCCTGGTGCTCTGTGCTCTCCGCTGTCTGATTTCCTGGCCCCTCCAGCTCTACATCTAAACAACCTGGAGTAGAGGAGTTAGGATTATTTGAACACTTTTTCTTTAACAAGGTAAAAAATGTGTAACTTGGAGGAAAACAGTAAGAGGACATTACCACCCACAGGCTCATTTTCCTGATGTTTGTGCCTATTTGAGGGACACCCTCCTTTGTAAAATCCAATTCCTTTATTTGTGGCAGTTCATTGTTAGAAAATGCACATATTAAGTGTTACTTTTTCTTTCTTATTATCAGATTTATTTTAAAAGCCCTTAATGAAGTAGTAAAATATTTTACTGCTTTTGTTAACCATAACACCTCACCAAATTTAGGATAAGTTTTAAAATTTTATGATGTATTACATTTTTGGATGATAAAATCTAACTGAAGACACAATGATTCTGAGCCAAATTTCAGCTTAAGTCAGTGACCCCAGATTTGATTATGTGACCTATCAGTAAATTTAGCTAGTTTTATTATTTAAAATGCAAGCAGCCCCCCCAAGTAATAATGGAATTAAGAGTAAAATCTTTATAGCAGTGTGCAGTTCCAGGTTTCCTTGACTATCCTAAATCTGTATGACTTGCAGAGTATTTTAAGAGGTCATGAGGGAAACTCATCTCTTAGAGCCCATGTGGCCATGGCTGTTAAAGCTGGGTGTGCATCTAGATTCTAGTGTCCGGCTCGCTGGGGTAGTGGAGACCCAGGCCAAGGATGGGAGGCGGGACTAGCTCAAGCCCTTGCCAGTGCTGCTCTTCACAGCAACATGCACCATGGTCACTGTCAGCTCCCGGCCCCGCCACCTGAGCAGCATCTGAAACATTCTTCTTTGAGGATTTGGAATCTGGCAGCCAACAGAAAATTAATTTCAGACAGTCACAGTCTTAGCTAGCTTTTTAGTGGGAATAAATTCACATTTGAATGTGCTCAGGTATCAGATTGCTTTCATTGTCAACATCCTCACCTTCGCCCAGTGCCGCAGTCGGCCTCTTACAGGGGAGTGAAGCAACACTGTGTGTCCGACTGACTGAGCAACAGCGGCGATGCGTGACAGACACCAGACAACTACCGTATGGCTACATTCCAAAGATGATCGGTACACCGTGAGAAATACTTGCTGGTCTGCAGTGCCCAAAGCACTTTTTACAGACTTTTGGTTAGTTTGGTTTTACTCAAAAAACATTTATTTAGCACTTAGACTGTGCTAGGCACTATAGGGTACAAAATTAGTTGAATTTTCTCCTCTCAGCCCAGCATGAGGTAGGTTTGCTAAAGCGTGGTACCACTCAGCATCTTCTGTTCTGCTCCTATGGACAGGACAGCGTCCCCAAATCCCAGAACCAGACATTTCTACACACTTTAGGAAAAATAAATCTGGACTTTAAATATTTTAGACTCTTTGTTTTTGTTTTTTTACATACGTCTTACAAGATAATACATCTTTACAATTACCTGATATGGATACAACTTTGGAACTTGGCAAAAAAATCCCCCAAAGCAAACCCAGAGTAAATCATAATTTACATTATAATTGATTTTGCTGCAGAGTTCACACCTCAGATTCTCAATTCTGGCAAGTACAGCAGGCTGAGGGCTCTACTGAGTCCCTTCTGACACCCTCAGAGCCGCGCCCCTCATTACAGCAGCACCTCTGGTCGGAAGCTGTCAGCACCCAGCACTCCAGGTGGCAGCCTTGTACAGAGCCAGGCACAACAGAAATCTCACCCTGTTTAAAAGGAAGTGGGTGTGTCTAACGTGCAGATGGAAGCTATATGAACATTCTTAATCTCAACAGTGATAGTCTGGATATGAAAACAAATACAGTAAGAACATAATCTGCAAATTATAATTAGTTACAATAAATACCAAAGTTTAACAGCAAAGCTGCTTGTTTGAATTAAAAAATAAACAGTAAAGCATCTGTATTAATGATAGCATAATTAATGTGTTTATATTTTATCCTTAGTCTCAACCAAAGGAGTGGAATTTAGCCAAGATTGCACTT